TTTATTACCTTCCCTCTGAAATCATCTCCACCTGTCCTGTATATATCTTGTTTGTGCTTAGTTGTTTGCATGTTATGTCCCCCAATAGACTGTAATCTCCTAGTGAACAAGAACTATTGTTTCCCTTTCTTATATCCCTGCAATTTAGGACAATGCCTGGCTCATAGCAAGGTCTTAATAAATGCCAGTTGCCCAATTGATTGACTAAATGTTGTGGTCATTCTTGGTCTTGGAGAAAAGGTGAGGGAATATCCTCCCTTCCTTTCATTGGAGAAGTTGGTGAATATGGGTAAAGAATGATTCATATACCCTCAAATGAGGTTCTTCTGCTGACTGGTTGGTCATACTTTTTTTTAATTATAGTGGAAGATTCATGAAGGCAGCAGGAGACTTAATGTATATCTGGAAATGACTGCAACGTAGAAACAAGAATCAATCAAAAATAAATTACTCTTTAAATATTAAAAGGCACTACACAATTATGTGAGTAACTAGTGTGTAGTGAATCTGGTTTCTCTTGGGAGAGCAGTACAGACTGATCAGCCTGCCTCAACTCAAAATGCCTTTCAGATTCATCTTCATTATAGGTTAAGATGATTCTGTTGTGCTGCTGCTGATCTGTCCTGAGTGAATAGGAGGCAGTTCAAATGTTTTGTTCTATTTGCAAAATCAGGCCCTCCATTATAAATTGAGGATGTCAACTTTAGATGATAAATTTTTCCTTAGAAAATTGTGAATTCCTAGGAGAGAGATAAACTAAAATAAAGTCTCTTTAGTTTTATGAATTTATTAGTTGCTTTCTTTAATACTTTTTTTTTTATTTTTAGCACGGAGGTTCAAGTATAACATTTCCATATAGAATGTGGGAAGAATTCCTAACGGGGGTCTAAAAAATATGAAACAGACTATATCCATTGATTAAATCCAGACCTCTAAAGAGCAAGCTAATTCTCTCAACCTAAGAAGAAAATTGGAAGATGCTGTCAATTACCCAGAATGAAAGTCTTTGTAAATCATTCAATATGCCATGGAAGCTAGTACAAAGTCCATCAGTGACAAAAGAGAAGGATGCTGAAAGTCATTATTTATCTTCAAATTGTAACTGATAAAAAGAGAAGAGGGTTTTTCAACATTATTCTTTCGCATCATTCATTCATTCATTCATTCATTCATTCATTCTTAGCCAAAGGAAGCTCCAAATCCCACTCCATAGTTAACATATCTCCTTGATTCTTCTATATCTTCACAGTTTCAAAATAGATTCTATATAACCACTGGTGAATAGTGAAACAAGGTCTGAGACTTGCATGTTGTGCAATATAATTGTAATGGAAAGCAATAGGATATGATTTTCATTCTTCTTGACCTCTCTGCAGTCTTTGACTCTCTCAATCATGCCCTTCTCCTTGATACTCCCTTCTCAAAAAAGTTTTTGGAATGCCTCCTCCAATTTATCTGACCCCTCCTTTTCTGGATTCTCATCCAGGTCATGCCCATAATAATAGCTAACATTTATATGGGACATATATTATAAGGATGTATCTTTGGGAATGGTGAGAGAATATAATGAGCAATGTGGATGATATAAAAAGATATCAATAAAAATTAGAGAATAAATTCTATAGAACCCTCTTGTTTATATTGTAATTGTATATTGAAATTGTTTCCTCAGTGACTGTAGGTATATAAGAAATATATGTATAAGAAATATATGGCACAAGCGTATGTGTGTGTGTGTGTGTGTGTGTGTGTGTGTGTGTGTGTGTGTGTGT